CAGTGTCTAGCAATATGATAAGCCACTGTTTTTATTAATGTAGTGCTACCTCCTCTTACTGTAAGACTTGAAAATCCGTGTAGTTCTTTTTTTGTGCAGCCAGCAGCCTCTCGCCTCCTCGTCCCCTCTTTTTCTCTCTCTGAATACAAACAGCCCCTCACTACTGCAGTTCATGCTTACTAACTTGCAGGTGGTGCAGCTGGGGAGGATTATTATTTAATATGTAAATTTAAAAAAGGTACAAAAAAGCAAACTTTAATATATGTAAATATTTTTTAGACATTTATTTTGTACAGTCACAGCTGTTGTTAATAAATGTGCCTGTGTGACAACGGGGACAAAGCTTTGACTCAGAAATATATTTTTGCTTTTTATAGAAGAAAAGAAAAAACAAAAATATATATATATCTATATGTATATATATCGCATATCACAATTTATCTTAAAATATCGAGATATTCATATTGGTCCATATCACCCAGCCCCACATGTAGCTAATGAGAAGCGGGTTGGAGGATTGAAGATAATTTTTTATTGTTTATTTATTTTACAGATCAGTTAAAATAAACTTACCATGCTCTGTTCTGCAAAATACGCTACACAGTATTGCTCCTTGCATTGTCTGTGATGAACATGAAAGTGAAACTTAAGTGAACAGTAATGACTTGAAAGTAGTCTTCATCCGCCCTCTGCTGGATACTTTGTACAATTACGGCTGGTTACTGCATTTTAGGGGTGAAAATTACAAGTGCAATTGGAAGGATCACAATGGGACAAATATCACTGATGGGTCCGCAAACATCTATATCGGCCTAAATTATCGTTTCTTCTGATATATCTGTCGGGCTCTAATTTATATACATGTTTTATATACAGTATACTCTTTAAAATGTGTTTGTAACTTCATGTTAAGATTTTTATAATCACATTAAATATTTGAGGTTTTATCTTTTCTGATTTTTATAGGTTTATTTTACAGATTTTAACCCTCATCAGCCACTGTCGAGCCCAAAGGTGAGTGAACATAGTGACTCTTTAAACTGCACATTATTGGGTAAATACTCAGCATAGTTGTTTCTGTCATCGCCCTTTGATTTTCACTGAAACTGTGCTGTTCATTCCAGAGTGACCCATCAAATCTGACTCTTTCTTGGCCTGACAAGCCGGTGAGGCACACGTTCAGAACATTTAACCAAAACAGTCGAAATGCATCCTTTTAAATTTTTTTTCATATTTTTACTGCATATGGATTTTTTTCCTAATGTTTCTAATTGAAATTGTTAGAGTTTTTTTATTATCTTTTATTTCCCTCCAGGATATTGGTGCAGTTGCCAAAGCTTGGGAAGATGGTCCCTATCTGTTTATAGTGAAGGTGCAGACTTTGTTTCATGGAGTTGAAGTTGAAGATATTGCAGATGAGCAGCTCAGTTTTGCTTTCACAAGTAATCAAAGATTGTTTTCTTACAAAGGCTTTCACAAATCCATATCTGAAAAGGTTAGGATGCTGTGTAAAATGTAAATAGTAACAGAATGCAATGATTTGCAAATCTCATGAAGTCACATTTTATTTACAGTGGAACAAACCAAATGTTTAAACTAAGAAATCTGACTACCGTATTTTCCACCGTACACGTCGCTCCGCCGTATAAGAAGTCGCATCAGTCCAAATATGTCTAATAAAGTGGAAAAATCCATAAATGTGTCGCTTCGCCGTATAAGTCGTATCTATTATGCATCACCGCTGACACGACATGTTTCTTACGCGTCAGTGCTGACAACCTGGAAATGTGGACCGGTGTTGTGCCAAAAATCGATTGGCTGCCAGATGGCGGCTGCGGTAGCGTGCACGGGAGGATTTTAACAAGAATTTAACAAGATTAACACTTAAATTTTTTTTGGTTTGCTCTAAATTATAGTAAAGGTGTCTCAGTTTAACTTTCCTCAATGAATACACTTTGTCAAATTAGCTGTATTTCAAGTGTGTTCAAGGTGGCACGCTATGTCAAGCCGATAGTGTCATTAATAGCCACTTTTACCTATTACATGACACAACGGCATGCCATACTACTCGACTGCCATCTATTGGCTGAAAATGGTAGTGTTCAATATTTTCAGTCGGAATGAATGAAAACGGTAATTCTCAGCCAAAAATTACTTTATAAATATGGGAAAAATTCATAAATACGTCGCTTCGGCGTATAAGGCGCAGGGCCTGCAAATTATGCAAAAAAAAAAAACATGTTTATAGGCTGAAAAATACTGAAATTTCATGAAGTTAAAAAAGGGTATGTTTTAATTTGAAGGCAGCAACACATCTCCAACAGTTAGTTCTGTACAGTGAAGCATCGACTCTTCTTGAAGCAACAGCTGTTAATGTGCAGGAACCTTCTGACTTGTCATTTGTGCACAGAGATTTCTCCATATCCTTCTAGTCTTCTGATGATATTATGAGCTGTACAGGTCCTTCTCAAAAAAATAGCATATTGTGATGAAGGTAATTATTTTCCATAATGTAATGATAAAAATGAAACTTTCATATATTTCAGATTCATTGCACACCAACTGAAATATTTCAGGTCTTTAATTGTTTTAATACTGATGATTATGGCATACAGCTCATGAAAACACAAAATGCCTGTCCCAAAAAATTAGCATATTTCATCCCACCAATGAAAGACAAGTGTTTTTAATACAAAAAACGCCAACCTTCAAATAATCATGTTCAGTTATGCACTCAATACTTGGTCGGGAATCCTTTTGCATGAATGACTGCTTCAATGTGGCGTGGCATGGAGGCAATCAGCCTGTGGCACTGCTGAGGTGTTATGGAGGCCCAGGATGCTTCGATAGCGGCCTTAAGCTCATCCAGAGTGTTGGGTCTTGCGTCTCTCAACTTTCTCTTCACAATATCCCACAGGTTCTCTATGGGGTTCAGGTCAGGAGAGTTGGCAGGCCAATTGAGCACAGTAATACCATGGTCAGTAAACCATTTACCAGTGGTTTTGGCACTGTGAGCAGGTGCCAGGTCGTGCTGAAAAATGAAATCTTCATCTCCATAAAGCTTTTCAGCAGATGGAAGCATGAAGTGCTCCAAAATCTCCTGATAGCTAGCTGCA